TGGCAAACAAAATATCATTTAACAGAAACTGAGACATCGGTGAGTATCAGACCAGTGTGGATGACACTGGTGGATGTACATTGGTTTGCTCAACAGATTGGGCTAAAGAAGGGTGCTGTGCACTTGGCCATAGCTGCTGTCCTGAATGCTCTGTGGGCCAAGCAAAAGGGAAAGGTAACACACATGGGATCTTAATGTACGAGTGATCATTAATTCAGAGAGATTCCCTGCTCCTGCTTGCCCTCATTTGCACATCTGGTCTTGATTCTGCAGTAATTTATACATATGTTTAGCTTTAAAATATCAAATAAAGTACAGGCATCACTGAGTTCTTGGAGACTTTCACATGCTTAATTTTTGCAGGATGGAAAATTGCAGCAGCTGCACAGAGCTTAGTGGTGGAATTGGTCAGAACATTTCAGAGTCATTTTGTTGGAGCTCTGGCATTTCTCAAAGATTTTTTGCCTAGCCCTGCTTATTATGCCAGAGATGCTTCTCTGTGTGCCCTTCTCTTGATTTCATCTTTCTTACTTGGAGATTTTAATCTGAGATTTTAATCTTTTAGCCACTTGCCTACCGAATATGCTGTTGATCTGGGAGCCAAATCTTATATACTTAGCATGTCACTGGATATTAAAAATAACCTATTTAGTCAGTGATGTGAGCAGCCATAAAGGCAGCCTGGTTAGAAGGGAAATTACTGAACTAAAGATATTGTCTGCTCAAAAATACGGACAGAAAAAGCCTGGAACTGCAAGCCTGGGGACTGCAAGCCTGGGGACTAGCACTGTGAACTATAAAAAAACATCCTTGAAAAATGCAGTTGGCCTCTTTGAAGTGCAGCTGGGGTACCTAGAAACCAGAGACATCCACAGATACCACTGATAAGTGTGAAACAAGGCACTGTAATGACAATTTATCATCTGAGAAGGTGGAAAACAGTCTGAAAAAATAAAATTGCTCTGAAGGAACTGAAAACAGCATCATCTATTAGCTGTTACAAGTGAAAAATAGAAATTAACAGCATCTATTGGCTGCTCAAATGTCCTACTCCCTCTTATGTCTCTGTGATATAAAAAGGACTTCATTTTTATCCAAAATGGAGCCTCTCTCTTTATGTGAACTCCCCAGTTGAATCCCACACAAACTTTCTATGAGCTCTTGGGCTGTCCCCAGGGACGCCTGGCTGAAAACAGTCTGTGACATGGATCATTTTGGAAGCAGGACTCTGCCTGCTGTCTTACTGGCTCAGTCTGTCCTCCCCTCTTCTGGGGAGGGACCGAAGGTCTGTCCTCCCCTCTTCTGGGGAACTGTTTGTTCCCCCCCTTTTGGGATGATTTGGCTTCTTCTGAAATCTGTCTAATTCACTTCATATCGATAGTATATATATTCATGTAAGTAATCTGTCATAAATATATCTGCTGTTACATTGTTCATAAATTTGCTTCATTAATGGTAAACTGTAGTAATCTGTAATAGTATATAGCTACTTGGCTGCTGCAGTTATTGATTGTACTACAATACTGATTGATGCTATTATTGATTGATAACATACTATTGATTGATACTATATTACTGATTGCTGATAGCAATTTGTAGTAGCTTAATATATATTCATTCATAGCCATTTTATTAATCATAGGTATGTTTGCTAGTGGTGACTTCTGTGGTAGTATACTTGCTTGTGGTGATTTTTGTGGTAATCTGTAATAAAGTAGAGAAATTTTAAACATGAAGCTTCCATGTCCTTGCATTTACAGAATCCTACAAACCCATGGTGGTGATCTCCACACCTGCAGGCCAGGTAACCCTTCAGGTCGTGACAGTCAGAAATTGGCCTTTTGCTCTGTGAGCTTAAAACCCTTGGTATGGTGCAGTCCTAGTCCAGAACTAGCCCTTATTTGTCCTGCGGGAGGACAAATAACACGTGGTACAATGCTGCTGTGGCCACATCCTGACAGGCACAGTTGGACATGCTTGATGTTTGCAGGTCTGCTGATTTAAGAGGAAAGAAACATCAAAAAGCTGTAGCTAGCATTAACTGGAGTCACCTGCTCATGTGCCAAGTGGCTGGGGACATGCCATCGTGCTACCCCAACTGTAAAGCTTGCAAGGGAGAGTGGGCTTGAGTCCCACCAGTTCAGGCCTGCCAGCATCCACTCTTCGCTTCACTTCTGCTCTGTTGGACTAAGGCTTCATGTATCATTGCTTGCAAAAGTAATCCACTACCTTCAGCTTGCTGAAGTCTGAGAGTCCCGAAAAGTCCATACAGTCCCAAAAAGAGGCTCATCAAAAAATTCAGAAAGAGACATCTTATATGTCAAAAGAGTAGTTTGTATGATGGTGGTTTCCAGTAAGGGAGGGGGCTGGAGGGAAGGTCACCATGTCAGATAGCTGGTATGTGGTGTGGTTTTTTTTCCCTTTTTTAATAATCACCCTATGATATTGCTTCCATAATGAAAGCAGCTTAAGAAGGATACACCGTCCTTAATGATTTTCAGGGGAAAGTGACAGATGTTCTTGCTTCGGGTTGAGAACCACATTGCTTTGGTGTCAGTAATTAATCTTGTGTGCTAAATGTAAACATGCTTGCACTTTGTAACACTTCCTCATAAAGAAAAAAGCATCTGCATGTTAACTCTTTTATGGCATACATGTGGTTACAGTTATTTAATTTATTTTGTTTTCTAGTTTCTGTGGAAGTTACTAGTCGACATCGTAAGGAAATCTTCTTATATTTCCAGTCCAAAGGCAACTAGGACCTATTGGTTTTAACTGTATTAGAAGAGTACGTGTTTTAGTTGGTGCCCAACTAAAATGGTCTTACAGCTCATTTCAGACAGAAGCTCTTTCCTTGGCAATGGATGTTACTTTCTGCTCAGAGATGTCTTTGCCTCCCAACATACCATCTCCTCACGCAGAGATGCAAACTAGCCCCTCTTCTGGGGAAGCTGTACAGCTTATCTCGTCCAGCTTTAGCGTCAGAGCTGGCAGTGGGAACTGATGCCTACTGCTAATAGGGAGCCGTGTACTTAAAGATTGTGCTTTAATCTGTAGGTCTTTGTTTATGATTTGGCCAAGGAGTTGTTTTTCTTTAAGTCTGGATACTTGGGGGTTTGTTTTAATATTTTTTTTTTAATTGCGAGGGGCTTTTTCCCAAAAATAACTCCTTACTGAAAACTAAAAACTCAGCAATTGAACTGTATATGCTACCATTGTCTGCTAGCAAATGCTTGGACTTCATGTGTTGATCTCTTTGCTGAAGTGATCAGTCATTTTGAGGGAATTATGTTCAGTATTAAGATCTAAAAGAGCCTGTTCTAAAATAACCTGGTTTTTCCTTTTCTGAGAGCAGGAGGTGTGACAACAGGGGTGCTTCTCTGTCTTAATTTGACAGCTGAAAAGTGTGACTTGTCTTTCCTGTTTAATGTTTTACTCCTGCTTGGATAGAGTTTAAAAGGAAGCTGAAAAGGGTTTATTATCAACTACTCACAGCCATGAAATTAGGCACACACTTGCACATTTGGCAGTGCAACACAGGCTGATGAGGTGGTTTGGGGGGGGGGGAACGTTTAGATCTGCTGTCTCAACTCCCTGCTTGCTTCAGAGAAATAGGGAAGAGATTGACAGCCATTCCTTAAGTGACTAACATTACTTAATCTTTTTTTCATCGTACTGTTTTATTATGCTAGGCTTTTTTTATTTTATATGTCATCCTTGAATCAGGTTGCCAAACAATTGCTATTCTGCATGGATTTAAGATATATTACTGATGTGCTATCAGATGAAGAACCTTATGGTAAGTCATCTTTTCTTCAAAGCTGGACTTTGGTACCCTCCATCTTACTAACCCTTGAGTTGTCTCATCAGTTTTGGTGGGAGTACCTCACTCAGGAATACACCACCAGCCTCCAGCCTGTAAGACTAAGACAGGCTGGAGGGACAATCGTAGTGATGAAATCTGGAGGGTGAGAAGTTGTTGTTCCGTGTAATTTCATATTTATGCTTGTTCCCCTCCAGAAATCTCCAAAATGGCCTGCTGGGGAAAAAAGAAAGAGGTGAGCTTAAACAGATTGTCGTGGTTTTACCCCAGCAGGCAGCTGAGCACCACGCAGCCACTTGCTCACTCCCCCCTGGCAGGATGGGGGAGAGAATTGGAAGAGTGAAAGTGAGCACACTCATGGGTTGAGATAAAAACAGTTTAATAGGACAAATAAAAAAAAGGATAATAATAACAATTATTATAATGATGATAATAATAACAACAACAACAACAAAACAAGTGATGAACACCACAATTTCTCACCACTTGAAGTTGATGCTGCGCAAGACCCCCAGCTGCCAATGGAACATGACGTCATATGGTATGGAATATGTCTTTGGTCACTTTGAGTCAGCTGTTCCCCGCCTTCTCGTTGGCAGGGCAGTATGAAGCGCTGAAAAGCCCTTGACTGCTTGGCAACAATTAAAAACATCAGTGTGTTATCAACATTATTCTTATCCTAAATCCAAAACACAGCACTCTACCAGCTGCCAGAAAGAAAATTAACTCTATCCCTGCCAAAACCTGTACCTGATGAAAACCATTACTCTGCACCTCTTAGCGAACAGGAAGGGGACTATGTGAGATGAAGTTTGCTCGCGTCTTTTCACATGTTCCAGGAGTGCAAAATCAGCGCTACATTGGTGACTTTTTGCCATATAATGCTTTGTGTTGGGTTAGCAAGGAGATTGTGCTGTTCTCTGCTTCTTCCGAGGATTTATCTGGTTTGCAGTTCTCTTGCAATGAAATAGCTAGGGAGAAGAGGGAAGGGCTTATTCAGCAAAATTGATCTATTTAATTAAAATTATGGCTTTCAAAGAAAAAAAAAAGTCAGAACACCTCCAATCCTTCCATTTCCCCAAAAAACATTCTTTGATGCACTCTTTAACAAAATAATCCTCTGTTGACTAAAACACAGCCTGACTTGAAACCATCCTTATCTGCTCCAGAATAGCAAATGCTGAAGCAGGAATATCTGGTTTATACAAGATCCTGTGCCTGGCTGGGCTACTCAGACCAGCAGTTAAAACAGGTTTGAATGTTCAATCTTATAATACTAAGTTGTTAAATGGTATGTGAAGTGGGCAAATCCTAACAGATGATGATAAATCCTCACTGCTTGCTCCTAAGCACTTAGAAGTTTTGCTGGACTGAGTGAAAATGTAACATTGCAGATCCATTTGGGGAGGTAAAAAAGCAGGCCCAATGCCATTTAAGTAATTTTCCTGGTAAGGCAGAGTGTTCCAGTCCTGTCTATGATCAAGGATATACCCAAGGAACATGAGTATTGAGAACAAAGTATTAAGGTAGAAACTGAAGTCTCTTTATGTTGGTATATTGTGTATAACAGCAAGTTTGCATGGCTGCAGCTGTGTTGGTTAAAACAAGGAGCTTATGCACATAGGGATACTCAGGAGAGTGATATGAATTAACCAGAAGTGTGATCATTAAGAATGTTAATGAAAACACACAAAATCTGTGCTTGAATAGCTATGTACAGAAACACAGGGTCCTTAACCTGCAGTAACTTCATAGATGAAAAACAGGGATGTGTCCTTCACAAGCAACATGAACCTCAAGAGTCTGATAATTGTTGGTTTCTTCTAGAACTCCTGGTTGTCTTGACTTTGAGGGATACTCTGAAACTGTCAGCAGCAGAGGGCCCTTAGCTTCCTTTGTAAAGCAGCATCCTTAGTGCCAGACAGAATGGCATGTGCTTGACTTTCTGTGAAATATTGCAAAAGCTTTGGACAGTTTATTGGTGTCAGATTTAGTTAATACAGCTGGGATTTATCTTCTGAGAAGCATACACCCTGGTATATATAGAAATAGTGTTGCTGAGTCATGGGATGTTCATACCTGGATTAGAAAAATTTATCACATGTTACAGTTAGCTGGGTTGAGGAGTTAGGTTCAGCTGGATGTTATTCATATATTGGATCTCATTTTCTCATGGTTTTCTGCTACCTCCTAGGAAGAAATAAAAAGCTTATTCTTATTCTGAAAATGTGTAAATTAATATTATTCTAGATGCAGTGTGGTAGAGTTATTTGGAGATGTATAATTGATGTAACTTTGCATGCAGCTACACACATAGACCTTGAGAGAAGGCTGGACAACGTCTAGTAAACACTTGTACTGAGTGTTATTCTTCTGTGTTTTATGCTTTGAATAGATGGACTAGACCTAGTCCAGGTCTAGGTCTTCCAGGTCTGTCATATGGGCAGTGATGACTTTGCTTCTGTATCTCTCTCCAACACTTCCCCCTTCTACTACTGCATAATGCTGCATTGCAGGAAAACAGTAATGGTATGGCAAAGCTGAGGGCTGATCGCAAATGAAGATAAACACATTTCCATTGATTTATGAAAAAAACATTGCTGTTTTATTTTCAGAGTAGGATGAAGGTTACTCACAAGGGAAGAAAAGTAATAACAAAGTTCTTTCTCTAAGACAGTGATGCTGAAATTGTAAATTCTGGTTTATGGATTCCAGTTTACTGGTGCATTAATCATTCAGAAGTGATCTATATCTTGTTCCAAATATGCATCTAGGCTCAAAGTAAAGGTGGGTGCAGATCTTCAGGATATTTGTAGATACAGATTTATATGAGAAATAATTGCCCCAGAAAACATAATGGTGAGTATCAGTTTTTGCTATTATACTATGTTATTTTCTATTTAAAACCATTAGATGAAATATCTCTCATTATATACATTACTTGACAAATATTTTTTCTTCCTTCTTCAAATCCTGAATAATGATGGCCAAAAAAAATGTTTATATATATCAACAAAGAGCAGTATTGGACATGACCAAAGTAGATGTATTACTAAGAATTTTATCCCATATGGATTGAGAGCAGCCCTGCGGAGAAGGACTTGCGGGTGTTGGTTGATGAAAAGGTCAACATGACCTGGCAATGTGCACTCGCAGCATAAAAAGCCATCCGTATCCTGGGCTGTATCAAAACCAGCATAGCCAGCAGGTTGAGGGAGGTGATCCTGCCCCTCTACTCCACTCTCGTGAGACCCCACCTGGAGTACTGCGTCCAGCTCTGGGGTCCTCAGTAGAAGAAAGACATGGAGCTGTTGGAGTGAGCCAAGAGGAGGGCCACCAGATGATCAGAGGGCTGGAGCACCTCTCCTATGAGGACAGGCTGAGAGAGTTGGGGTTGTTCAGCCTGGAGAAGAGAAGGGTCTGGAGAGACCTTATAGCAGCCTTCCAGTACCTAAAGGAGGCCTACAGGAAAGATGGAGAGGGACTGTTTACAAGGGCATGGAGTGACAGGTCAAGGGGTAATGGCTTTAAGCTGAAGGAGGGTCAATTTAGATTAGATGTTAGAAAGAAATTCTTTATTGTGAGGGTGGTGAGGTACTGGAACAGGTTGCCCAGAGAAGTTGTGGAGGCCCCATCCCTGGAAGTGTTCAAGGCCAGGCTGGATGGGGCTTGGGGCAACCTGGTCTAGTGGAGGGTGTCCCTGCCCATGGCAGGGGGGGTGGAAATAGATGATCTTTAAGGTCCCTTCCAACCCAAACCATACTGTGATTCTATGATTCTGTGCCAGAACTTCCATTCAAGCCTGGGGAGAACTCCAGTTCCAGGATTGTCTTCTAGAAAATATGAAGTGCCTTTTATATCCAGGGAGGCTTCCAGAGGAAAGCCTGTTAGTATTTTTTCACTGATGTTTGGCCAAAAATAAACTAGAAAAGAAGTTTTGAAACTAAAATATTTAAATGAAAAGGAATAATGAGATGAAGACACACATTTTGATTTGGAAATGTTACTCTGTTGACTGCTATGGGCTGGATTCTTTGCCCCACGTTCTCTGACACACCACAGCTGCTGACCTACTGCAGTGCAGCATGGAGCTTTCACGGGATGCCATGTATCATGAAATGCCATGTGAATACAGGATGGCAAGAACCTGAAGAGGAACTGTGCTGTCATTCTCAGATGTTTCACTTTTTGTAGGGAGAAAAAAAATCTCCCTTGTGTGGGAGAGAAGTGCTGATGGAGAAACTCATCTTACTTAAACTACTGCATTTTTTTGGTCATTTTCTGCTGAAAATTTCAGGAGGCCATATCCATGTTTTAGGGTGCTTTAGTCAAGTGTATGTTGCCAAGATATACTCATTCCCACAGAATACTCTGCTCTGCTTCCTACAGCTCCCGACCTGCTTGGTTCAAACCTAGTCTGCATATTGCTATAGTCATTGCAACTCAGTGCAAGTGTGACCAAAAATACAATATAGACAGAATGGCAATTCCAGCTTTTCATTTCCTTTCTACTTCCTGAATTTCTACCACTTCATATCAATTTTACAGCTCTTTTTATGAGAATTTGACAGGGGAAAAAAAAAAAGAATAGAATCCTCCAGTGTATTTGATTCTTATTTTCCTTATCCCCAGATGCTGGATGCAAACCAACAACAGGAAATAAAGGAAGCAATAGAGTGGGTCACTAAAACAGGTGAGTTTAAGCCCTTGTGGATTAAGGAGCCAACTTTTCCAGATGGGACATGCAAGCATTTCAAAAGTTGGAGAGTTAATTTTTTTTATTTCAGTAATAATACAGTGACTGCAGTAGTGTAATGTTGATACTGTTCTTTCACGTATTCAGAGTACAGGTTGAACTTGTTATTCAGACTACTATTATTAAATGTATTTGCTACTGGACCCTGACACACATTCTGCACCTGTATTCCCTTAAGCTTAAAGAAATACTTTGTTTCTAAAAAAAACCCAAAACATAAAAGGACTGTAATGCCTGCATGAGGAAGGCAGACAACATTTAGTATGAAATGTGAATGGACTTTTTAAAAAAATGTATGGTTTCCAATGAAATTGGAAGTCTGGTTCAGAATTTCTGCTCCCAACATGCTATACTTAGCAGCACTGTAAAAACTCCAGATGTACAGTATGTGCATTTCTTTACTGCTTCACACACCCTGCTATATAATTCCTTACATTGCTTGTGGAGCAGAGAAAGCAGAAAAAAATCAATGGAAAGTTTTATAACGTGTTATATTTTCTGTAAAACAAATAGAAAACAGTATGCTGAATCAACTGTTATTCCATCCTTTATGCTACTGAGTAACTCCATTGGGAATTAAAAACCAGAAGCAAATCGTGAATGTTTATTTCCTTGCAGGCCTTAGCACTGCTAGGAGTTGGTGTGGCAACCAGAGAACATGTGAGTATATGTGTAAGTGCTTTGGGCTTTTTCCTAATTACTACTGTTTAATGTAGCTACTGCATAACCTTTGGAGCTGGCGCCAAAACTCCTTTCCATTTCTCACTCAAATACTACAGCTGACAATTACTTGGTATCTATTTCAGCTACTCCCTACCAAGGTTGCCTCCCTTCACCGTATCTCCCTGGTTCATTCTTCCCACACAAGATTTCTGTGAACAACCTGGAAATATCTGATTTTTAAAAATTATTATTACAAGAGTAACTGCTAAAATTTCATATTCTCACATCAGTGAGAAATATGAAAGAATGCATCCATGATCATGATTGCCCATATGGAAGGTAGAGAAGCAAGGTACAAAGAATAAGTCCATGCTGCTTCGTGGAGCACACTGCAGCTCCATGAGACAACTTGGATAACATCTGTGCAGAACAATGTAGGCTGGAGAGCTGCAGGGCTACTGAAGCTGATAGCCCCTGTAGCCCAAGGGTAATTATCACAGCTCCCATTTTGCTCAGTGGGTCTGATGCTTAAGTGAGTGTTTTGCTCAGCACAGCAGTGCACATGTAGACATGGCCTTGCAGCAGCTATATAAAGGAGTGGGTTTCAGAGTGGAGAGGTTTGTGGCGCCTCATCTTGTATCATCAACTCTATTTGTGCTGCACTAACTCAACTGTAAAGATCAAAAATCCCAGAAAATCATGCTGTTAGCAAGCTGTAGTTCATCCTCTCAGTGGCACCAGCAGCACTGCCAGGGTGCAGGGAGGGCTGGGAAGCCAGGAGCCGATACCACGGTTGGCAGGGCAGGTCTGGGGGTGGCAGCCAGGGTCAGCTGAGAAGGTTGCCAGAAGAGGTCATGGTGAGGAGACAGCCCTGAGGGCAGGGTCTGGCCCAGTGACAGGGACCAGTGTCAAACACTGCACAGTGACTGCCAGCCAGTGATGAAGTCAGACCCAGGTCGAGCCTGGCCATCCCCAAGGACAGCCTGAGAAAACTGGCAGGGTGCCACAGGGGCCAGCTGCTCCCAGGGGACCGGGAGCTGCGGGGGGTCCCCATGGGGGCAGCAGGGCAGAGGCCCCCCAGCCAGGCCCGTCCCTGTCCAGCCAGGGGCAGGGTTGGTGGAGGACAGTGGGGTATCCCCAGCCCCAAGCACTGGGACCTCCTGGGGACAAGGACAGGGCTAGGCTGAGGCCAGGCCAGGCCAGCAGTGTGAGTGGGGCTCAGGACCAGGCCTGGTGAGGGGAACCAAGGTCAGACACGGCCCCGGGTGTGTGCGGGCAGGGCCATGGCAGAGTAGGGCCACGGTCGTGGGGCCAGGCCAGGGTGTTGGTCCATGGCCAGACACATCCATAGCCGTACCACAGCTGGAAGCGGGTACACCTGCAATGCAGCCCAGGCAGAAACTAAGGCCCATGGGCAGAGGGTGTGGGCTCCAGGTCAGGCTGAGGCCCGTCAGTGCCCTTGGTGCCCTGTCTGGCCTTAGAAGGAATTTGGCTGGTATGTATGCGGCTATTTTGTAAAGTTGAAACCTTTCCTTTGCCCCAAGGAAACTCATTGCTAGCACTAGTAGTATGTCACTGCCATCATCTATATTTAAATACTTTTCACGTGAAATATTTTCAATGAGTCCAAAGACCAGAACTAATTCCTGGATATAAGGAGCAAGGTGTCAATAGACAGGCTGGTACCTTTTAGAATACCAGTCTCCAACCTAAAGTAATTTGTTTTTTATTGCACCCATCTTTTTGCCAAGTCTTGACACCAAATCTACAGAGCCAAACAATGTGAATTAACAAATTCTCGTTTCTCTGCAGCAACTGGAGACAACAGTGACTGGATTAGCATAGTTTTTCTGCTGCCAGTTTCTCATGCCAAGCCCTGCAATCAACATATTTCATTGTGCTTCTCGCTCTCAGCTGCCGTCTACCAGTAGATAGGGCACTTTTAATTTGGGGAGGGGAGTGTTTTATAATTAGGATGAGTTTGAATTACCCATTAGTACAGCCTTGCTTTACAAAGTAAAGGGCAGTCCTGAATACTGCCTTTACTTGATGGTTTGTATAACCTTTTTCTTCTTTTCACTATAACATCTGAGAACAACATAAGAATTTAATGTATTTACCCACAGAATTCCCCTGCGAATAACGCGAGTACTATTATCTGTACTACAAACATGGGAAATTAATATGAGGCCTGAACTGACTGAACAACTTAGCCAAGCTCCAGACAGGAAATCTGTAGCACAGCTAGAAATTGAATCATGACTCTTATCCAAGCGTATCTTGTCTACAAGGCCATCTCTCATCTGGCTGGACTGGTCTCCAGAAGAAGGAACGATTTCCTACAGCAAAGTCACTGCAATATTCACTTTAGCTGTCTCAGAATGGGAATAGCTGCTCATTCACATAGGCAAACACATCCCAAAGCTGTGCAGTCCTGAGCATGCTGAAGTGGGACTAAGACAGTCCTGTCCCCAGTGTACCCCAAGTCCCTGCCCGGGGACATGGTTAGGTGACCAGAGGGGTGTGACTTGGCTCCTAAAGGAGCCTAAATTCTAATAAGATTTTGAGGCAGTCTCTGAGGTAATTATCTGGCAGAGCTGCCCAATCAGTTCGTGTGAGCATTACATAATCGTTTCACTACAAATTCAGCAACCGCCGCATAGGTTCAGCCCCCGTCCTTGTCCTGCAAGAGCCATTTTCACTTCGCATTTTCACTTCACTTATGTGCTTCAACATCCAGTTAAGGGGCAGTAATTTCCAAACTCACTCCAGCACAACTATGCCCTTTGGCACACAGTGGGTTTTTTCCAGTGTACCTCAGTTCATTGGGTCAGGTCTAGTGCTCTTAACATTACAAGTATAAGCTGATTATTTTTAATATTGGCAACATTCTTGAACTTCACTTCATCCAAATTCTCATGTGATCTCTCATTTAAATAGAGTAATTAAAATAATTTGGATTTATTGAGACACACAGGAGGGACACTGTACAAATGTTTTGATATGAGTTGCCAGCAGCTGTTGTAATATGTTAATTTGCGATACTCCAGGTCTTAACTTTTTTTTTTTCCCTTACACTGCCACAACAGAGTGATATTTAAACAGCTTCTACCAGCTAAGGCCTTGAGTTACCTCCAAATTGACAGCTGCAGGCTGGGAAGTGTGAATGAACACTTGTCTGTGTTGCTGATGGCCAAAATGTTCCAGAGTGAGGCTCCGCAAAATGA